TTTTTTCTTCTTTCTCTATATCTTCCCTTCGAGCGAGCCGTGGTAGGTTGGATTACCAATCCAGAGCTGCCTCCGGCACGTTCTTCTCTCTGTCGGGCACGTAGGGCGCTGGACGTAAGGGCTCGGCGAGCTGGTTCGCTGCCGGACACAGCACTTTAGTACGTATCGTTGATACCGATATGGAAATTATCCAGCTGAATTTTAACCGCGTTGCGCGCACTCACACACAGAAAACTGTGCCAGATTCAATTTGGATTGATCACGTGTACCCACCGCTCTTGATATTTCCAATACCTGCAGGAACAATCACATTTTCGCACGACAAGACATTTTCTAAATTATTTCTAAGGGAAAATCAGATTTTTATACATTTCTCGTGTTGGAATATTTCTTCATAGAAATATGTATCTTGTTTATCTTTTTCGATCGATAAAAGGTATATACAATATTTAATAATTAATAATATTTCATTTTTATTATTATTTGATGCGATTATTTAATCTACTTTTCTTTTTTTCTCATTGTTTCCCTTTTATTTAGGAATTAAAAAGAATTTAAAAAAAAAACAGGAAAGAAGAAATACAAAGAAAAATTTCTTAAAGAAACGCGCCCTTTAGCGTGCATTCGTTATATAAACTATGTTATTAAATGTTAGTAATTCCATCTAATTGACTTTTAATGTTTGATGAATTGCTAAACAAGCCGGCAGGCAAACTCATTAAATATTAAGAATTCCTTTTGCTTTATGCATTAGATAAACGTATTATCCGATTATCATCCGGTGAAGATCCTAATGTTAAAATGGTCGTCTCTAGGCGATGCCATCTGTGGTAACACACGGTTGGCTTTAAGGAACGAGATCTCCCCCTTGCACACCTCAACCCCTACCATCTTTTCCTACTCCCCCAGCAAAGTCGATTGCTCTCGACTTCGTATGCGTCTTCCATTCACCTCAGCTTCTCTGGTTTCTTCTGGTCTTTAAAATAGACACGAATCTTCCCATGGACTTCCGTTCGTAGGTCGAGAAGATCTGCGTGTTTGTAAGCATCTTCCTCGTCGTTCGTCCCACGTCACGATCTCCAGAGGGATCGCGAGGATCTCGCTCGGGTCATCCTCGATGGTCCACCTCTCTTGATGCATGAACGCGTATCTTTTGCCCTATCCCGGTAAGTTTACGGGGGTTGCCAGTGGAATCGAATCGTTTGACGAGCCACCTGTAGCGCGAAGGGCTACCACCGGCCCTTCTTCAGGACGGGCACACACGATCTTTGTCCCCTTCTCGGTCCACGATTCGATCCATTTCGTACGCCTTCTTGACCCCTGGCTATATTTACGATAAAGCCGTCGTAAAAACGTCTCGAGATAAATATCCCTTTCGACATCGCGCGCTACGAATACAAGATTTTCCGTCGATGTAAAACAATTTTTTCCTAGTTCACGGAGTAAATATTTGTAATATTGTTGAAAAACATTTTCAGTTTAATTAGCAGTAGGAATAAGAGCTGGATGTATGCAAATTGCATCGTGAGTCACACGAGGAGCAATAATCTGTTATTGATTTGCCTCATGGTTTTTTTTTTTTCTTCTGTATACGTCAGTGAATGAGATAGAATAGCCTTGCAAGGCGGTATTTTCGACCACGAGTGTGATTTAAATTATATTTTCTCATTCATTTATTGATCTCTCAGATGCGGACAACATGTTTTCGCGGTGCACCTGAAAGCTGCTTTTATATCACACAACAGCAGGTACTTTTATATAATTGAAAATTGATATCTCGCAAGAGAAGATTTTACCGATATCTCGTATGGGAAGACTCTATTACAATTCCGAAGAATAGAAAAAGAAAAGAATACACGGCGTCTTATATATATTTTAGAAATTCCTAGGGAAGGTACTTTGAACTTTTGAGGTTTACGAGATTCAGTTTGTTCCGAATTCTTGGGAAGGCGTATGCGACCTGACGCGAGTTCCGTCGAGGTGCGGAAGGTCATGCTGGGGGGATGGATGTGGTTTGAAGGGTCGTGGGAAGGGAAACGGGGTCATTCTTCGATGGCTCTTGTGGTCGTCCTATGCGTGCCATTGGACCATCGCAAGGTGGCACGGGCGATTAATCTCGCGGAAACACGCTCTTGCTAATTAACGAAATGAAATTTATGAACGAAGTAGCGAACATATGTAAATAATGTGCTATTCCCAAGAACATGTGCTCCCCGCTACTCTTATTAGAGGGTACAATTGTGTGTTTAACCTGTGTTTAGTGAGAAAATTGAATTCGAAAATTAAGAGAAACAAAAAATATATTTTGTGTTCGAAGAAATTTTGTATTCGAAGAAATTTATGTAAAAATGCGACTATTAAACCGTGTCACACAGCTACAATCCCTTTTTCTATTTTTTCATATCAACACACACATTTTAAACACACATTTTGTAGATATCGTATTTCTAAATAAGTAATTAAATTTAAAGCAATTATAGAGATAGTCAGTTAAAATTAATTAGCGATACTTTCGTCTGTGTTGCAGCAATGCGCCCCGCACGACAAGGAAAGCGACTACTGGGGTGGCGGCCGGGGCGCGAAACAAGGTTACGAGGTGAGACAACCCACTTCGAAATATTTTAGTGGTCTATTTCATATACATGGCCGTCGTGCTAATTCTACTTGGTGAAGCGCAGCACTTTCTGTTGCAGGCGAAAATGAACGCGGACCATGGTCAGCTGCAGAAAGGTGAGTCTCTAATGCGTTTCTTACGTACGCCTCGATATATATATCTTTCCGTATATTTCCGCGCAACTCGCGGATGACGTCTTTGCTTTACTATATAAATCATTAAGTTGTCAAGGCAAAAGTACGCGTATGATCGTCGGCACAGAACAATGTGATATCAACGATAGATAAAAGAGAAACTTTCTCATGAAAGAAACCAAACGTGGAAAAATTAACGAATCTTTCGTGTAAATAACTTTTATTTAAGTTCTATAAAATTGCAATTAATAGCTTCATTATTAAAGTGTTTAATATGAACCATAAAATTATGAAAAGGATGGCATTTCCAAAGGATGAAGAAAAATCCGATTGAGAAAAAGGCGATTTCGAATTTGTCAAGGAATATATAATCGAGCAGAAATGACTCATAGAGACGTGTATTGTGCATCATCATCATCGAGACGGAGATCGGGGAGTTGTTTATCTGAAAAATTGGGATCATTGTAGGCAGTTAAATCATGCGGAGCCTTAGCCGAGACCTCGTCGTCTCACTTCGTACTAGTGTCTGTTGGCGTCGCAACCTCGCATCAGATGCAAACACTTTCTAAGACCTAACCGTCGCCCGTGAACCGGTTGTGACTGCACGCGTGACGTAAGATCGCCGATTAGGAGCGAAAGAAAAAGTCGGAGAAAAAGAGTGGGGACACTGCACCGAGCAAAAAACCGGTATGAACGTGAATTATCGGCGGACTGTACTGGATATATAGGCTGCATGACCATCCACTTTTACACGTAAAAACTTATTTTTCATCTGTTGACATTATTTAATCCAGTTTCTGCGATTTGTTATGTGTTTTTATTTAAATATGACTTGGCTTATAGCCGAGCGAGCGAGCGAACAAACAGATTTCTTTTTTTTTTAATAACATATAGATGCGCTACATGTTGTGCGTATCACATAATAACGCTTGTATAAAAGTTTTAAGAAAGAATCAAAAAACGTACGTAGTCCAATTTAACTTTTATATTTTTTTTAGACACTAAAAGTCGATCAAAGAAAAATTCAAGCAGGAAGTAGGTTATATTAAATTAGGCTTAATTAAATAAGTTGCATTTCTTGTAGAATTTTACATTCTATTCCATTTTAATTCAAAAACGATGAATAAAAATAAAATTCAAAAATTAATTCGATCGATGAATAAAAATAAAATCGAGATGAACCGCACTGCGTGACATTTTCAGCATGATAACATCAAATGAGTACTTATCACGCAGTCACGATAACAATTCGATTCGGATAGATCGTCGTTTTCTTCTTTGCCTTTCTCTCCTCGTCGGGGAGGATTAAGCAATCGGTGGTTTCGTTCGTAAAAGGAGAGGCACGTTTCATATACGTGTTTTTCACTGCCAATGGCACGCGCGCTTGACCTAGGTTGGCCATTTACGAGATAAGCCCGCCACCTTTCCATTCTCGTCAGGATCGACGGACTCTCGTCAGTGATTCATGCCGTAGAGAAACGCAAACCTGTCGTGGGAGGAGGGGGAGGGGGGGGGGAGGAGGGAAGTTGCACGACCACCTGCAACATTTCCCTCGATATTGCCCTGTAATTTGACGCGTTTGCCTCCGCGACAAATATTATTGCAATATTATTGATACCCGACACGTCGTCGTCGTCCACTGTTACGTCACTGTCCGGATAGCGCGAGAGCTTCGTTTTTATTGGGCGATTAAAACAAAATTTATTGCAGCGATATTTCTTCCTTTTTTTTTGCAAGTCTTTATTACACTTGACTTTATCACTTATTACTAACGGAATATCTAGAACGGTAAATATATTCCGAGGTTTATTTCCATTGCTGCTGCTGCTGCTGCTGCTGCTACTGCTACTGCTGCTGCTCTCTGATATTTTTAAACGATCGTGTATCTTCATCCGACACACATTACGTCCGTGCATCTTCAATTTTCCTCCCTTTATTCCCGTCTTTGATTAATCCACCGTCTGGCCGCGAGCGCGAATTTACGTCGATCGGCGTGTGTACGATCATTACTACATTGCGTGTCTCAAAACCAAATTTCTCTTTCATCGGAGGAACATTTTTCGCGCACCGTATCCATCGGGCCCGACGTTAGACGGGCCCTGAAATTAACCGCCTGCCTGGCAATTGCGCAAAGACTCTCGACTATTCGTTAATGCACGGATCGCATGACGTTGAAATTTCGGGCCCCACGAACAGCTAAGCTCCTCGGCGGAGGAGGATATGTGTGGGTCGACGGGGCCTCAAGGCCCCCTCTTGCGCCCGTCTCATTATCGTATTCGCTCGTCAAGTAAATGCGAGTCGCTCGTTTGGAAATTCCTCGTCGGCGCAGCCTCCAGGAGATCTGTCGCGATACACCAATCTTGCGGCAACATGGACGGGATGTGTCGCAACGTGCGCGTATGATTTATTTGGCCAGCGAATATATTTCGTATTTTGACGAGTCGCATTCGAGATATCATAAAAGTTGGCTGGTGCGTCTCTCACGCGATGATCTTGCCGAAGGATCGGTGATTTCTGCGCCGCGATGTGAGTAAAATCGATATTTTCTGAAATTTTATTGACTCTCGATGCAATTTTAATATGTCTCTAACGCTACGCTATATTTTTACGTAAAAGTCTGCGTTTTAATTCCACTTTGATTTTCCGATTTCAATTTATTAAAAAAAATCTTTATTTTTTTGTTTAGTATTTCTCATCTAATAAGGAAAAGCTGATACTTTATGACTGATTATTTATTGAAATTGCGTTTCTTTCGAGTTGCAAAAATGCACGTGTAAATTCTCCGATCGTAAAATATCGCGAATTGTTACTGAAGGGAGGATAAAAATTGCGCTATCGCATATCCAGACCCGTCTCTTTCTCTGCCTCTCGAAATATTAATGTCATCGGTGAATGACTTTAATGATTATTGAGTACCTCGCATTTTCTTCGCTCTCGGTTCCGAACGTAACGACTGAATCGAACGCGTTAATGCAACATGTGGCTTTCACTTACAACACGATCCGTACCTTCTTGATCACTCTGTGATTATTAGAAGACATTTTCATCCGAATCGTTAAAACGCGGAATCGGATTACGCTGATTTTAACCGGATTATGAAAGCTACTTGAACTTTCGTCTCCTAACGAGTTAATGGAGTTTTTTTTTTTTTTTTTTTACTTGTAGAAGTATATCGGCGACAGTACTTTCGTAATAATTTTACCGACGACTTGCTGCGCCGCGGCAAGAGGATCATGTCGCATCTCGTGTTACTTCGTAATGTACAAATGAGATATCTCGCGAGTGAAGAGGACGCGGAAGAGGCGCCCATTCTTTTTTTAATAACGAACCGGCCCCACTTGCTTCCCTTCCTCGAGCTCTTACTTTTTTCTCGTACGAGCGCACGTACGAGAAAACGGATTGCATTTCGTATTCGAAGGGATAGAATCGACTCGTAAACAGGTCGATAAAAATCCGCGACTGTTCCGCGTAAACAGACATCCGCGGAAATCAGACCGCGTGTTCCGTCAAATACGCGGGTATGTAATACGATTCATATTGTGACATCTCATTCTTCAAACTTCCTCAAAGCGACGTCTCTCTTGAGCTTCGTAATAATAGCGATGTATTAACATTTTGCGATTACCTGCGATACCTTATTAATTATTAGAAAGGGAACAGCTGCTTTTATTAAAACGATCGAGAGAGAGAGAGAGAGAGAGAGAGAGAGAGAGAGAGAGAGAGACGTCG